ACATCTCCAATTCAAACATATTTCTCTTTTATAATTCCCACAAAAATAGAGTTATTCTATTTTTGTAGAAATTATAGAGGAAAAAATAGGTTTGAGTTGAAGATGGTCTACGCGTAGCTAAATCAATTAAGTGGGTGCTTAGGCGTAGCCTTGATCGATTTTTAGAACACTGCTAAATCCTCAATACATGTACTTAATTAATCTAGGGCCTAAACTGTATTATACACATCAACCATTTAAAATATATAATCTGTGCCCAGGGCCTGGCTTGTTCCTGACTACAAGTTTGCTTCTATTTAAATTGCAGGTTGAGCTTGTTCTGATTCAGTTAAGAAGATCATTAGGCAAAGGCGGCGGCGAGAACTATGATGATGAGTTGTATAACGATCTTATATCTCTTTACAGTGGTGTAACAGACTCTGAGATCCTCAGGAGAGTGGCTGAGAAGCTTCAGCTGATGACTGTGACTGACCTTACTCAAGAGTCTTTGGCTTTACTTGACATGCTTAGTTCCGGTGGCGGCGATGATCCCGGCGAAAGCTTTGAGAAAATGATGATGCTTCTGAAGAAGATCAAGGACTTTGTGCAAACCTATAATCCTAACTTGGAAGATGTTCCGGTGAGGCCAAAACCGTCATTTTCTAAGCCGCAAGATGGAGATGAGAAGAATGTTCCTGAAGATTTTCGTTGTCCGATTTCACTCAAGTTGATGAGTGATCCAGTTATTGTTTCTTCAGGACAGGTATATGGTTTAAACATTATCTCCACTTCTGTTTTTTGTTGACTCTGGTCTGGTGGTCATGTCTGAATTTGTTTTTGTAGACATATGATCGTGACTGTATTAAGAAGTGGCTTGAAGAAGGACACTCGACGTGTCCAAAGACTCAAGAAACGTTAACAAGCGATACAGTCACACCAAACTATGCTCTAAGAAGCCTTATAGCTCAATGGTGTGAATCCAATGGCATTGAACCTCCAAAACGCCCCAACAATCCTCAACAGAGTAGTAAAGCCTCCTCCTCCTCCTCGTCCTCCTCTTCCTCTGCGCCTCCTTCTGAAGAACAGTTGAAGATCGAAGAACTCTTATGTAAGCTCACCTCACAACGCCCTGAAGACCAAAGATCAGCCGCAGGAGAAATCCGCCTCCTAGCAAAACAAAACAACCATAACCGAATCTCCATCGCTGCATCAGGAGCCATCCCTCTACTAGTGAATCTCCTCACGACCTCCGATGATCCCCGGACGCAAGAACACGCAGTGACATCGATTCTCAACCTCTCTATATTCCAAGAGAACAAAGGACGGATCGTGTCTACATTTGGAGCGGTTCCTGGTATTGTTTATGTTCTCAAGAAAGGTAGCATGGAAGCTAGAGAAAACGCAGCAGCTACACTATTCAGCCTCTCGGTTATAGACGAGAACAAAGTGACTATAGGTGCAGCAGGAGCCATCCCTCCTCTTGTGAACTTGCTGAGCGAAGGGTCACAGAGAGGGAAGAAAGATGCAGGGACTGCCCTGTTCAACCTCTGTATATTTCAAGGGAACAAAGGGAAAGCTGTTAGAGCCGGTTTAGTTCCAGTGCTGATGCGGTTACTAACCGAACCAGAAGGAAGAATGGTCGATGAATCGTTAGCTATATTGGCTATACTATCGAGTCATCCTGAAGGGAAAGTAGTTGTTGGAGCAGCTCATGCTGTTCCCATTATGGTTGAGTTTATTAGAAGCGGGTCGCCGCGGAACAAGGAGAACGCAGCTGCTGTGTTAGTGCAGTTGGGTTCGTATGATCAGCAGCATTTGGTTGAAGCTGAGAAGTTAGGGATATTGGGGTGTTTATTAGAAATGGCTGAGAGTGGTACTGATAGAGGGAAACGCAAAGCGGCGCAGTTACTTAACCGCTTTAGCCTTTTTAATGAACAGCAGAAACAGTCTGGTTTGGGTGTAGAAGATCAAGTCTCTCTGATCTGAGGTTTTAGAGGGTTTGCTTTTACAGTTATTTTTTTGTTTTTACATTTTCATATCAAAGTTACACCATAAGGACAAGATTTTGAAACCTGTACAATGGAATTGTTTTTCTCTGTATATCTCCCCCCAACTCAGAAAATATATCACAACACAATTTATTGCCTCTGTCATGTTTGAAAAACTAGGACTGCTTTGAGTCTTTGACAACTCCTAGAAGTAAAAGCGTTTGGACCAGCCACATGGCTTAGAATGAATTTAATACAAGTTAAGCTTACTTCTCTATCATATTGGTGTGAACAACATAGTCAAGGTTACCATTGTAACTCACCGTGTTTAACCGCACTGAACGTCTCGTCACAGCCAACAATTTTTCCAAACCTTTCACCACTCCGAAGTACCTTTGCTTTGGGTCGATTCGAATTTTCATCTTGTCACCGAATCTAATCAATTTATTTATTTATTTGGATAATAGGTGTTTTTCCCAACATAATTTTCCTAGAAATGTTTATTTATTTATGTTTTATTAATCCAAAAACCAGCATAATAAATAATTATTTATATTTTACTTACGAATACTTATTAAGTTATGTTTTATTAATTCAAAAATCAGCATAATAAATTATTATTTATATTTTTTTAAAAAACTTAAAGCAAACATTAAATTAGTTATAGATAACATCATTGACATATCAAAAATATTTTAGAAACTATATTTATACAAATATTTTTGCTTGATTTATATTTAATTATAAATTTTATATCTTAATTATAAAAACTTATAATAGCAAATATATATTCAAGATAATAGCATAAATAACAAAATTTTCTAAAATATAATATTATTAATAGGAAGTCGTTTAAATTATATAATAATAATTTATATATAATTATTAAAACCATGAAAAATAATCAAAATTATTTAAAATTATGGAAAATTAACAAATGAGTAAAATCACTTCTCAAATAATAGTAAAGATTTGTTTTTGTTTGTTAGGAATTTCAAATATATTTTCACTATAACTAGATATGATTTGGAATATACTGTGAGATCTTTGGTTAAAGAAAGTAAAAATATGATTGATTCAACAATGTCAAACAAATAACCAAACAAAAATTTTAAAATGCCCATTGGCTCGCAATCTGTAACCAAACTTGTACCAATAACTAATAGATTCGGTCTGGTACGATTCGGTCATCAACCGCATCCTAGATATATAAAAAAAAATAAGATGAGGACCAATATAACCAACCAAACGGTCGATTATGCAGTCTGTCCCATGCATCATTAATATAACAAAACTTAATTTGTTACTATCGTAAGAGAAATTGCACTCCCTACACACAACAAACACCTTATTTACATTCCCTACCCTATTTTCCTCAATTTTTATTCCCTCCATCATCAATATTTTTCCCCAAATCAAGGTATTCAACTTATTTTAGTATTTTGATCAAATTAACTCTTATCCTAAAGATCCCTATATGCCATATTTTCCGTTCATACGCCCTTATTTCATTTACAGAACAATTGTTACTATGGTACAGACCACGTTCCATAGCCTAAACCTTACATACGGCCACACGAACACAACATAAACTTCATTAATAAACTAAAGAAAAGAAAAGATAATAGAACAAACTTAACATAGGCACAAGTGGTAACTAACACAAAAATCTTTCTTTTTTTTTGGAATTCAGTTGCAAGTTGATGAATTGATTTTTGGTGCGATTTATTTGTTATATATATAATTTTGACTAAAATGGCCATTATATAGTTAGTTTATAAAATTTATAACCATTATAGGCGATTTTATAAACATAGATTTACAAAATTTTATATTGGTTATGACAGGCGATTAGGAACAGAGTTCCTACTCTGTCTTGGTTATCGAATGTGTGGTTCAAAGCAACGTAACCCAAACATGCTTTTAATTTCTTTTGTGGATTGCTAATATGACAGAATTCCTACCCGCCTACGGCTTTCTTGGTTGGGTCTTGGAAACAACTCTTCGTGCTGGATCATCTGCTATTAGATTGTGTGGTCAGCGAACAACTTGGGATATTGTTATGCGCCGATTGGGCTACGGTCCGCTGGGTTTCATGACATAGACATAATCTATGTAAGGGCTCTCGGTTGAGAATGCTACAACCTCAAGGACACTCAGACGTATAGCTTCTGAGTTCTGACTTGACTATCTATCACATTTGGGCTGAGAGAAATAGCAGATCAGCATGATGGTAACTGGTAAGGCGTCAACACACCAGACACCATCACCATTTTTTAAACTCATAGATCGTCAACTGCGTGATATAATCTTAGGAAGGAAGAAGCAAAAGTTTTCAACAATCTTATGCAATTTGTGGCTTAGGAATGACTAAAGCATACTCTACCTTTATGGCTTCATCTTGTTTTTATTACGATGAACCCATAATAAGACTAACGTTTTGTAACATTACAATCAATTTTCATGTTATATGAAAATTCACATATTTGGTAAAAGAAACAATAGTAGAACTTATTGATAACTTGTCAATTATCAAGTGTACTTATTTACAAAAATCCAGATTGCTTTCATACTCATGTGAAATTACGGTTGTCTTCAAAAAAAAAGGGTAAATGGTTTTCATCAGCAAAAGAAAAAAAAGATGTAATAATTTTCGCAAGTGTACGGAATATAAATACTGGAAAAAGTAATGATTTTAACGTGGTACGTAACATGCATCTACATATGTATATATCTTTATTAAGAAAGACTGACAAAGAAAAGAAAAAAGAAAAAGCTCCTAAAAATGTGAGAAATCTAAGCTTTCTGGTAACTTTAAAACTATTCTATCAATAGAGAGACACGGAATTGTATGATTAAATTCGTCAGTCTGTAAACACCCTTTTACTTTTATGAATGATCCTATTGGTCCAATAAAACTATTTATTGGAGTATATAACATTATTTTATAAACCTTTCACAAAAACAACATTATATTATAGACTAAGCAGTTAATGATAACATTCCTAGTAATAATGCTAATTGGTTCTCTCGTACTTTAGAAACATAAGCCATAGCTAGGTCAACATTAAAACAAATAAAATATAACATACAGATCTGTTAGTTATTACAGTATTTCATAAAATTTGAGTGAAGATTACGAATTAAACAAGTACAAACTCGACAGACACTCACACATCAACAAGTGCTAATCACACAATACGATTACTTCGTTGTCATACAACGACCGTGCTTTGTATAAGACCCATTCTAATATACCTCTTAGTTTCTCCATGAATTGACGATGTTCATGAATGATCCAACGGCAATGAAACCTTCACATTAGGTGGTGCTGCTGATCGTTAGAAGAAGAACCAGGGAAACTCAAACCGGGCCAGTATTGGTTGGATTGATTACCCGCAGATGTCAAACCCGAAACCGGCCGGCTTATACTACCCACATGGGTTTCTTCCATCTTCACCGGAGCAGTTTGAGAAACCCTAGAAGCTGGGGAAGAAGATAATACCATGTTGCCCTCATTAGGGAAAGAATATAATCCCATTGATCGGTTTAACATAGCAAAATGGCTAGCTGATCCCGGAGAAGTCATTATGTTATTCTCATTGTTGTTGTTAGCCATGACTGGACCCGAAGTATTAGCTCCATGGTAAAACCCTAAATCATTAAAGAAACTTGAACTAATGTTACCGTTTCCAACACTATTTCCATTAAAAGCGGCTAAGTTCAAACCAATACCACCGAGTTGAGTGAAATTCTGTAGAGTGGGCAAAAACGGTAGCTGGCTATTTGTTTGTAACTGGATACTACTAGGAGTTGTAGGACTTGGAGCGTTGACCATAGACGTTGACTGCTTGTTCTGTGAGGAGGCGGAAGACTTTGAATTTCCGGTTTTAGCCTTCTTGTTTCTCCGGCAGCCACCACCAACAGGGACGTTCCTTAAAGCGCCTCCTTGTGTCCAGTAGCGGCGGCAAGCCTTGCAGAAGTGGCGTGGCTGCGTGAGGTTGTAGTTGTTGAAGTAACAGAACTTGGTGTTGGCTGAGTTACATCGAGGGCAGTTTAGGGGTCCCTCAGGCGGATGAGAGTTCTTAGCTAGCCTCGCTCTCTCGGTTGCTGACCCGATGAGACCGGCGGGATCAACTGTGGTGGCGGCTGTGGTCTCAACATGGTTGTGGTTAGGGTTAGGGTTTTGTGGGAAGTGGTGAGAGTGTACTTGATGACCACTAACTAAATTTCCAGTTTCTTGTAGATGGAGCTGATGAGGATGATTATTAGAATTCGCAGACTGCAAACATATAAAAGAAAAAAAAATTAATTCAAACACACAATATAAGAAACAAAGTACCCGAAAGTTCAAATTTAATATTTTGTTATTTCCTTTTTAAAAAAAATTGAACAAGAAACATAGTATGTATTTGATCTATATATAGGTGGGATTATAAAGCAAGAAATACCATGATATGTTTTCGAATTTTGATAAAAAAGAAGAGACTAAAGATGAAGAAAGATGAGAATAGGAATATGTCTTTTACAAAAAATGAATCAAAATTATTAATATAAGAATCAAACAATCAATGGAGAACTTAAGAGCGCTAAAAATCACACAAAAAGAAGAAAGTAAAGAAAGTGAAGATTAGGTAATGGAAGATGAAAGAACCTGTGGCCAATCAATTGGTGGATCTAAAAAGCTTGGGACGGATGAGAAAACCATGGTTCTTTCTTCCTCCCTTTTATCTCTTTGTTCTACTTTCTTTAATAAAGTTTGATGGATCTTTAAAACTCAAAAGAACAAAAATGGTGGGAGAATCACAATAAAAACGAAAGAAGGGAACCAAAGGCTAAAGAGAGATTGTGAGGAGAGCACATAACCAAAAGGGAAAGAGAGAAGACAGAAGTTTAGAGAGAAGAGGACGATAGAGAGCATAAAGATAAAGCAGAACATAATGCTTTTTTAAACATGGATCATGTTCTTGTGCTTTATTTCTTTTTATATAATTCCCACTCTCATGCATTATATGTATATGCGTCTGTGGTGTATATTTATATATTATAAATTTATAATATACAAAAAATATTTTGCTGTGATTCCCTTTTTAGGGTTTGAGTGGGGGGACGTTTCTTCGCCAATAAGGCTCTCTCTGTCGAATAATAACCATACACATGCACGCGCGCACACACACACACATATATATATATATTGAAATGATTTACAAGGTCTTACTATGTAGAGAAAATATGGCCTATAGTAACAGCAATTTGGGATTAAGCTGTACAATCGGATGGTTTACTTTATAATTCACTCTTTTCACATTTGGTATTTGGATATATATTCAGGTTTCTTCAGCATTTTATAAGTAGAATTCCGGTTATTTTGTCTCACGGTTTGTTCACGGTTTTTGGTCAAGTTTCCATAATTACACCTCGTAATCTACTCTAGGCAATACGACATAGGTAGACCATTGTCAAACTAGCGATTTCTGGTAAGTTTGCGCAATTATCATTTTTAGTTAATAATAATGAACGGATCACTGTTCACTATGATATAGATGCGTAATCATGAGAGCTTACTTACGGTTTCGTTGTGGGGGCAAGAATAGCCTTTTTCTGATTGCCATTCAAATTTTCAATAAATAAAACAATAAGATTAAACAGGAATGACTGAATCGCTTAGTATATGGATGTTAACTTGTCTATATTAAAAGAGAGAGAGAGAAATAAAAAAAGAAGAATGAAAATAGAAAGATAAAATATGTCTTTTTTTATTATTATTATTTAGAGATTTTATACGATTAAATCAACTGGACTACCACATTCGTACTAACATATCATTTACAACTTCTATCATATGGCTGAACTTTTATTTTTATTTTCAAAGAAAATAGAGATCTTGCAATTTGTCTCTAGATTTTATCTCATCTTTTTTCTCATTTCCTCTATCAATCTTCTTATCATCTCTTTAATTTTGTTTTCTATTTTGACAAGATTTTTCCTATCTCTTTAATTTTTTCTTTTACTTTGACACGAATTCTTCTCATTTCTTTAACAACCTGTCTATTCGTATATCAATGCTAAACATCCTTTTCAGAAAGAGACTGGAAATGGCGCATATGCATGTTAAAAAAAATATCAACGTTGAATGGTTGATGCATGTCATTAGCAACCCTTTTCATATGCCCATTCAGCTCTTACATGCTATTATCCTATTTCATTTTGTTTTTTTTTTCCTCTTTATTCATTTTTAAATCTTATAATATTAACGCAGAAATTTTTACCAGTTTATTAGAAAATATTATTTGTGACAAAACATAGAGAAACAACATTTCATAAATTATACGTCTTTAAATTCGAAAGTTTAATGTTTTAAGCCAAAAAGAAAAAAATATATACATGTTTTTGCTTAAGGATTTAGCTGGCACTGCAATGAGAAATTTAATGAACTATCTCATATTGTTTTGGCTTACGTCAATGCATCAGTTATAAGACTAATTTATTGCTTTAGGGGATTCTTTTTCTGGTCAAAACATTCTCTTGAGAAGTAGTGGAAGTCTCTATTACGAATTCACCATGACTACGTTCTAGATTGATCATATATCGCTTTCCATATTAATTTTGAAGGTTTAGTATCATTTATCAATCATTATAGACATCTATCCGACACTATTTTCATAACCACTTTCAAAGGAACTTGATGTGATTAAAATTTGCACCACTCATAATTTGCATGAATATGTATGCAACCAGGTTAAAATAGGACGTTTTATCTGGATTCATAAAACTTAATACGTATAATCAAAATTAACCGTATTCAGTTTTCTTTAAAAAAAAACATGTTTCCCTGTACACCTTCATATGCTAATTGAAAATAATTTTGGGGTAATAATATTCACAGTTCAAATTAGTATCACTCTATTCCTATTTGTTGGTACGGTATTAACCCAAAAATTTTCTATTTATAGTGTCTACTAATATTAAGGTATAAAAAAAATTATTTGATATTCTTAAGAAAAATAAGTGGCACCACATTATTTTCATAAATATTTATTGAGTTTTTATATTTAACTAATTCAAATTATATTTTACATATTAGCTATACCTTTTAATATTTACTACGAGAACTATACAAATGGTGAATAAGGGAAAAGGAACAAGACACATTCATTTCAAAACTAAGTTTGACGTCTATGCCATTTATTTAAAATATAGAATACAAAATGTATTCCTGTAAATTTGACAACGAAATAATTGTTCTATTCTTTTCTATGTTTTTTTTTTTTGTTACTATTCACTGTAACAATTAATTAGTTCCATTATTTCTCTATCTTTAATCTTCTAATTTTGTTCCATATAATTTATATTGATTGGATTTGCTTAGATCACGTTTTAGGAATTCTGAGCTTGAACTCATTTGGAGAATTACTAAGAGTATGTTTAATGGAAGGTTTTCAGAATGAGATTCTCAACGGAATATAAGAAACCGTCTCTTAACTTTTAACTAAAAAAATTAAGAATCGATTTTTAAATATCTTATTTAAGAACTAATTTTTATCCTTTTTAATCAAAAACTAAAAGACGATTTTTTATATTTCGATAAGAATCCATCCTAAAAACCTTTCATTACAAACTAAAGTCAGTCTTGTACTTGTATGTAGGATATCGAAAAGGTTTCAGATTAGTTTTTTTTTTGGAACAAAGGTTTCAGATTAGTTTTTTTTTTGTAACACCATTCATTTCATAACTCAAAAACCCAAAGAGTTCAATACAGGGGATTCAGAAAACAGAGCATGTTTCGCCAAAGTATCAGCGTCTCTGTTCCTTGTACGAGGAATCCAAACAAAAGAGCAGAAATTAAAACTTGCAGCACACGAAAGAATGTCTGCAGTAATACCATAAAGCTCAACATAGGGAGACTTTGACGTAACCGCCGCAATCAATTGAGTTGAATCTGATTCAAAAGATACTTGCTGGAAACCCAGTTCTTTGCACTTTATTATCGCTGATCGGAGTGCTAATCCCTCAGCACTCAAAGGAGATCTCACCTCTCCTGCGAAGACTTCATATTGAAGCTTACCGTCTATCGTCTGGATCACCCAGCCCAAACCTGCTGCTTTACTATCTCCTCTCCAAGCAGCATCAACCGAAATAACTACAGTTCCAGTCGGTATGGAGATAGGCCGGGGCTTCAATCTCTGTCGTGGGGTTTCTTTGACCTGAGCCGAAGTCCACTCCCGAGCCATTTTAACCGCTTTAGTGATGGCTTCCTCGGGTGAAGTACCTTTGTTGGTGAAAATCAAATTGTTCCTTGCTGTCCAAATGGACCAAAGAATCCAAGGAGTGAGAGAACCCTCACCCAAACCCACCGGAGGGAGCGTAACCAACCTGCATAAACTAGGCCAATTTTCCGCCAAATCTACCAATCCTCTACTATCCACGTTTATGCTAAAAGGTGCCAACTCCCAAACCTTCTTAGCAAAAGAACAATGAATAAAAAGATGATTTGTAGATTCAATCTCATTGCACCTCTTGCATCTCTGATCCACGTTTATATGTCTTGCTGATAAACTCTCTCCCACCGCTAGAGCTCCCTGGAAAATTTTCCAGAGGAAAAGCTTTATTTTTGGCGCCACTGGTAACCTCCACACTTCTCGGTTCCAGTTACTTAGGCTTGTATTTGCAACCAAGCCTTCCTCACTCGCCTCTAGAGCAGCGTAGTAGCCTGATTTGGTTGTGTACACGCCTGAGGTCGTCTTGAGCCATACCAGTTTGTCCGGAGCCCCGGTAATACTAGGTTTGATTAATCTGATACGCTCTTCTTCAGATGGTAGCCAGCGTTTAATGGCTTCAAAGTTCCATTCCAAAGCGCCTGGTAAAAGAAGGTCTTCAACTTTCAGGGAAGCTCCCAAAAGGGGTGCAGGTCCCATCGGTCTTTCTACTTCAGATAAGCTGAGCCAGGGATCATCCCAAACTCTGATAGAAGACCCATTCCCCACGAGCCATCCCGCGTGCTTAAGAGCCAAATCTCTACCTAAGAGAATACCATGCCAACCATGGGAAGCAGAAGATCCCGATTTTACGCTGAGGAAGCTATCTTCATGGCAATACTTGCCAAATAAAACTCGACTCAGGAGGCAAGATGGATTGTCAATAAGACGCCAGCTGAGCTTAGCTAGGAAGGCATCATTATAAGCCTCAAAATCCCTGAATCCCAGGCCACCCAAAGCTTTCGGTTGCTTCAGGTTATTCCACGAAACCCATGCCATTTTCCTGTTTCCGTCTGGCCCGTCCCACCAGAAGCGGGTAAGCGTAGATTGAATCCTTTTCGTGAGGGACACAGGAAGCTTAAAGCAACTCATAGCATAGGAAGGAATAGGAGAGAGTACACTCTGAAGCATAGTGAGTTTCCCAGCAGTAGAGAGATGCCTATTAGACCAGTTCTTTGCCTTTTGTTTGATCCTATCAATAATAGATGCAAAGATGTCTTTCTTTTTACGTCCAAATTGCTCGGGGAGACCGAGATACTTTCCCACTCCTCCCTCTTTATGAATCTGTAGGATATCAGCCACCTGATTCTTTAATGCGCTTGGTGTTTTTTTTGAAAATGTGATAGAGGACTTATCAACATTTATCGATTGACCAGAAGCCCTTTCATACTTTTGCCAGATGTGTACGAGTGCCTTACTGCTGGACTCATCAGCTCGAACAAAAAACATCGTGTCGTCCGCGAACAGTAGGTGATTTACTCGGGGAGACGCTCTTGCAACGCGGATACCTTTTAAGAGATTAGTAGCTTGAGCTTTGTTACACAACCCCGAGAGAACTTCACTACACAATATAAAGATGTATGGTGATAGCGGGTCTCCTTGACGGATTCCCCTACTCG